ACGGGCCCTTCGGCATCCCGTAGTTCGAAAAAGGGGGAGAAGTCTGCTACCAAGTCTGCTGCTGCTGCTACCAAGGGTGCTGGTGATGATTCTGACTCTGATGGGGATTCAACTGATGATTCTATCGACAAGTTCACTGCTGGGGAGTAGATGTTTTTCTTTTGAGTGTTTTGAGGGTTGTAGGGAGGTCTTTTTGTATAAGAACCTCGTATTTCTTTTGCCTGTGTGATATTTGCTACTTGCTTCTATTTTGCTGGATGGATGTTTGTGCTTTTAATGGATGAATGATGATTTGTTCTTAATTGCTTTTTTCTCGAATTTTTGAGGTTCGTTGAATTGCAGGAACTGAGGGGGAGAACTGTGTATGAACACAGTCACATGGTTATTTGCTCTAACTCTTGATGATTGTTTAGTGGCTGGTTTTTCTGTGCTTGTTGTTTTTAATTTTTCAGGAGATATTTTATGTTTGATGTTTTCGAACTAGATGCCAAAGGGGGAGATTGAAAGATATTTATTTTGGCATTAGTTCGAAGGTTCGAACAAGCACCTGGAACTACAGAAACAGGGAAGATCTTTGCTTAATTGTTTTCTTAATTAAGATTATTTTATATTCCATATATAAGATATTATGGATCTTATTATGGTACTTTATTTTGTAGGAAATCGGATGAGATAAGGAAGGGAGAGGCGTGTATGCTAAAGAGATCAAGGAGAGAGAGAAGAAGATTCACTTACCAAAATTCTTATGCTATAATCAAGGAAGGAAATCAAGGTTGGAGTCCTATGCCTTGTAGAAGACTCCAACCCTAAGGAGATTACTTTAAATACCCGTATGCAAGCTCTCATTGTGGCTGCTGAGTTTTGAAGATCTTTAGAGCAATATTTGAGCTTCGTATTTTCTGTTTAAGTTGAGTTGTACACAGTTCAGTCTGAGAGTTCGAACTAACTCAAGGACTGAAGCTGTCTTATTTAGTTCTTTGTGTTTCATCCAAAAACTTCTTTACAGCTTATACACTTAGGGAGTAAGTGTAGTTTATAAAAGTCCACGGGACGTGGCCGGAGATTTAGTTGATAGGATCTGTGTAGTGTTGGCTAGGCTTGAAGGGAGTTCGAGTCGTTGTAAGTCCAAGCTATGTATATGTTTGATCTATCAATGAAAGAGCTCTGAGGGGAAGTGGGACGCTTCCCTGAAGAGTTTTAAAATCTTCGGTTTGTTGCTTCCGCATTTTTCAGTTCACATTTCAGTTCGTACCACCGATAAGCGCACTCAGTGTTAAGTATACGTTTCATTACGCTTTAATTACATCGTGTTATAGTTGTTATATTCCATACAACACCACCATGTAAAAGTGGAGTAAATATTATTAAGTTTGAATTGTTGTATAACTCAACGAGGATTGATATATATACAAGCCAACAGAGATGAAAGAAATGAAAAGACATAATCTACTAGATTTACCATATGACATAATTAATACAATCTAATCTATATTATATCAATATGATACAATTGCTCATACTTATCTTATAAGAATATCACAAGATAATCTGTCAATACAATTTTAATACAAAATTATCTTGTAAAAAACAATAATATTTTCCTGAATCACACGTGTATGGGAAATAAAAGAACATGTTTTATGGACAATGTTCTTAGTTGATTCCCATCCACTGGCGTTGGGAACTTTTTTTTTTTTTTCGATCGGTAAGTTGGGAATTTTTTTTTATCTTTAGTGTCGTAGATTGCGTGAGAGATTATTCATCTTTATTGTAATGAGGTTTCTTTGAATTTGATATCCCTCAACTTGCAAGTTGCAATGTTTGTTTGACAAATGATACTATTATAATTTAAAAGGTCAATAGTTCCATTTGGCAACGTTACATCACAATAATTTTATAATTAATAAGTATTATTTACGATTGTAAGACCATATCAAATCTTTCTACTTTTGAGTACAAATTATTAATAAAAATTAACTTTATGTTCATTATACAATGACTCTACAACTATTAAAATGTGTCCCTACAAAATAAAATTTAATACAACTATAAAATCAACTTAAAACTATTTGACAATATGTATATTTCGTCAAAATAATATTAGAAGTAAAAAATAGTTAAAAAGAAATAAATTTTATAGAAAATATTGTAGCGTGATACTATTTACATTTTCATGGTACACAACTCTGCAGATTGGGGCAAACCCGACCCATATTCGGAACTACTATGTGACCATGTCTACTTACAATGCTACGTTACCCGGACCATACTTAGGGACGAGTCTGTCCATGATCGGTGTTAGAACCCGGTGAACACGGGCGGAGGGAGGGGGTGGCTCACCCGAGCACCAGCCTGATCTTAATTTTTTTGTTTTACTAAATATTTATTAATTTAAATTATGATGAAATTATTTAGTTCATATTGATTTAAATTTATTTTATATTAAATAAGAAAATTATACATATTTTTGGACATGATTCAAACTTTTACGTATTTTTTTGTGTAGTTATAGCTTATTTTGCCATTTTTTCTTCTTTTGTTTTTATTTTTAATATTTAGTTTAAGACATGATTAATTTATTTTATTTATATTATGTAAAATATATCAATTACTTGTTAACATTTAAATAAATGGTATCTCAATATGTGAAATATATAATTTAATTTCATTAATTTGCGTGCATATTTGGAATTCCACAAATTAAGTAAAAATATTATATAACAAGTATGTAGGGTTAAACCTGTCTATTCAATAATATGATATTTGGACTTCCACAATTTAAGTGATATATTATATAGCAAGTATGTTGTGTTGACCTCCTAATAATTAACGTTAATCTCATAGTAGTATTTGAAATAAATTATATTTTTTCTATAAGTAGTTTACGCAGGCAAGAAGACTTACGCGATAGTGCTATTTTTTTAAAAAAATTGCTATATCAACAAAAAGAAAATCTACAAGTTTGTGTAAATACATCGATTTCAAATAAATACGCCTGAAAAATTAACATAAATGCTTTTAATTTACTAAAACAACATGACATATATTTAATAATTTATTTTTCATTTGTTTGGTAATTCATATTACACTTAAGAAATTATCATACTTTGAAATATTACACATAACAGTAGTGATATTAGTAAAGACAAATAGAGTCAAATACGTCGTGTTCGAACTTATGCTCGTATATCGAGCTAGAGGTGAGCATCGGTGCGGTTTGGTCAAAAACCGCACGCACCGAAAAAAACCGGAAACCGATTCCTTGAAATTTCTTCACCGAACCGCACCACAATAGAAGGAAAAACCAAACCGAACCGAACTGAAAATTTCGGATCGGTTCGGAGTTAACCGAAATTAAAAAAGATAACCACCAATTAATGTAATGTAAGTAAAAGTGTAAAATTAAGGTGATATTTTATTATAAAAATAAAAGCAAAAAACAAAAAAAAAGTGATATTTTATGACATTCGCTGCGGTTCGGTTAAAACCGCATTTTTCGGACAGAAAACCGAACCGCACCGAAATATTTGCGATTTTCCAGAACCCAAACCACGCCGATAATCGAACTCTTCAAAAACTGCACCGAACCGTACCGAATAGCTCGGTTCAGTGCGATCTTTCGATTTCAACTTGGTTTTGCTCACCCCTATAACGAGCAAGTTTGGCTATGATCATTTAATAAATCGAGTGTAATTAATTAGGTTCTGCTCGTTTGAATTAAATTTATTTACGTTTATTGTACAAATGAACTAAGATTGACTTTTTACTGTGTTGTACTCCTTAAAAAATCGGTCCTAGCAACTCAGAGTAGAAATATATCTAGTCTGTAAGTAAAGTTGATCTTGGGTTTGAACTTTAAATACACCGGAGATGAGATGACCTCGCCGTCGCTATTCCAGCGGAAGCTTGTCAGCCCCATACTTCTCCAAAAACACACACAAACACACGGGTGCGTGCGTATCGGGGCCCTTAGCGCAAATGTCATGTTACGGTGATAAAGATAAGGCTCACAAATCAAAGTACTGTCTTTTACTCACCTCCATTCAGTTGAGTTTTAAATTCTTTTTTTACATTTTTTTTTTGTCGCTTTCTTTTTTTGGGTAGCCAGCCACGATATCTGGAACTATGCTTCGATTAATCCGTTGATCGACTCGGGTCGCACACCTGGCAGTGATGGGTGAGTCTCCCAACAAAGATTTGCTGCATCCATAAGGACTCGAACCCGACACCTTGCTTAAGCGACATCAAGCTGCTTACCACTTGAACCTGGTCTTTTTTTTGTCGCTTTCTTTAACAAATCTACACGGGGAAGGTGGTATCTGTATCCGTTTTTCATGGGGTCATATTTATTGACCATTTCCTTTCGCCAATCACCACGCTCCATTGTTAAAGCTTCGGCCTTTATCTTATTTAATGATGGGTTTTTCTCCTCTTCATAAAAAAATAAAGCGAATATCAATCAATCCACCGTTTGTCACAAGCATACAAACAACATCTTCTTCATCTCTATCCCTTTCATTCACGTTAGACCATATATTTTAGTTTATTACAGGAAAGAAATAGTTTGAAAACGATTTGAGGTTGAAATAAATCTAAGTAAGTTCATTATATGGAATTGGGAATCTTTTGTTTCTCTCGTGCTACATCATCAGAAGCTAGCAGAAAGCTAGGAAAAGATCAGATCTTGAAATCGTTTAAGCATGATGTCTGGATTATGAAGTCTTCAGTTTTCGATCTTCTTGATGTTGTTCATATTTAGTATTTAGTATCCCAGAAAGATTATTTACTTGTCTTCCAAGTGATCAACTTGCCATTTTTTATATGCTCTTTAAAAAGTATACTTTACTTAATTGTCAACTGCGTTGCGCGTGAAGGGATCGATATAATTTAGGTACTACTTTTTAATGGGTTTATAAGAATTGGTTTCGAATTGCGATCGAGCTTTTGTCGGAGGGGTTTCTCGGCGGCTGTTCTTCGTCGGAGCAATTTTTTTTTTCAGAATGATTCAGGTGAGATTTTTAATCTCTTTGGTGATCTTTATTCTTTTCATTTTATGAGCTTTCAGATCTGCTTCTTGTGTTCTGGCTTAGATCTTTTATATTTTTCATTGTTTCACGTTGTTTCTCATCTTCTATGGGGAGATGCTACGGTCCGTTATGGAACCATTCCGTCGGGTTTCGTAACGGTTACATCAACTATATCCGACGGTTACATGATGATTTAACGGTTACATATACCGAAAAACTGGTTCCGTCTATGTTGGTTTTGGTTACCCGATTTTCATACTAAATTTCGTGCTTCACAGTAGAACACTACCGTGTCCTGAAATTTGTGGGTTTAAGTCAAAAGTTTTAGGAGGTGCTAATTTAGTGCACCATTTTTTGTAGTTTTCATTTTGTAGCTGCTCATTCATTTTTCCATCTGAATATACACTTTAACGAGCGAATAACCAAACTAAGGTCCCGTTACTGAATCATTCTCATCGGGGTTTGTAACCGTTAGAAAATCATGTAACCGTAAGAGATAGTTGATCTAACGGTTACAAACTCCGACCGAATGGTTCCGTAACGGATTGTAGCATCTTCCTAAGTATTGAGTGGCAAGATCTATTTTATTGAGTCTCAGGTTTAAAAGTAATGAAAAGCAGTGAGTGTAATATATATGGATCTGTGTAATGTGTTGCTACTTTTATGATAGTGATAATATTTTCTATATGTCTAATCCAATTTTTTGTTGTCAATTATCTATGAAAATGTGCTACCACCCTTCTTTTGTTGCTGTATCTCTTAATTGTAATAAGATAGTATTATATTCACAAGTACTCTAAACGAGAAATTGATGATACGATCTTCTCCCAAAATATTTAGAACATGCCTTTCAAGGATTTCTTCACCGAATACGGTGAGGCAAATCTGTACGAGATCGAAGAGGTCGTCGGAAAGGGGAGCTACGGGGTTGTAGCTGCTGCAGTCGACACCCACACGGGAGAAAAAGTAGCAATAAAGAAAATTAATAATATTTTCGAGCATGTGTCTGAGGCCACTCGAATTCTGAGAGAGATCAAGCTCCTTCGTTTGCTTCGGCATCCGGACATTGTCGAGATAAAGCATATCATGTTGCCCCCTTGCAGGAGAGAGTTTAAGGATATATATGTCGTGTTTGAGTTGATGGAGACCGACCTCCACCACGTAATCAAGACAAACGATGATCTAACGCCCGGCCACCATCAATTCTTTTTGTATCAGCTGCTTCGTGCTTTGAAGTATATTCATTCAGGTATGCTTTCTATAAAATTTCATTCTCATGGATTTTGCATAACACTCTCAGATTGTTTTTTTCTTTATAGATAATGTGGTTCCCTAATTTACAGTTAATTGGTTTTGCAGCAAATGTTTTCCACAGGGACTTGAAGCCCAAAAACATCCTTGCTAATGCAGATTGCAAGCTGAAGATTTGTGATTTTGGGCTTGCTCGTGCATCATTTGGTGATGCCCCATCTGCTGTTTTTTGGACTGTATGTAATTCATTGTTGATGGTTTGAATGTTATCATATTATATTGTATTTTCTAGATGCACCGTGTCATCATAATAACTTTCGCGAAATTCCGATTTTATAATCTAAAGGATTATGTGGCTACCCGGTGGTATCGTGCTCCTGAACTTTGTGGTTCCTTTTTTTCCAAAGTAAGTCCAGATACTTTTATCTCTTACTCGTGCAATTGATGTCGAATATATTCATGTTTAAACTTTTGTCATTCTTTTGTTAGAGAGTTCAAGTGATAATTTGTTCAATGGATATCACAATAAGGTTTATGCCTTTTGCAGTACACCCCGGCCATCGACATCTGGAGCATTGGATGCATATTTGCTGAAATGATTATTGGTAAACCATTATTTCCCGGAAAAAATGTGGTTCATCAATTGGAGCTCATAACTGATCTTCTCGGTTCACCATCTGCTGAAGCCATTTCAAGGGTTCGTTCGTTTATCCTTTTCCATTTTATCATGTAAAATGGGTAATTACACGGACCACTCCCTGAAAGTGAAATTATGAAAAGGCTACTCATCTTTTACGATTAGAAATACCCTGTCAGAGGTTTGTATTTTTTTTTTTTACCTTGTAAATATGGGCATATTTGTTACTTTAAAAGGTAAATCGAGGCTAGACATCAGGGATAGCTTGTGTAATTCGCCCCAGGTAAATTGACGAGACTTATTTATTTGATGAATTGGATTCATTTGGTACGTGCAGATTCGAAATGAAAAGGCAAGAAGATATTTGAGTAGCATGAGAAAGAAACCAGCCATACCTCTCTCACAAAGGTTCCCACATATCGATCCCTTGGCTCTTCGTTTACTTGAACGTTTAATTGCGTTTGATCCCAAAGATCGTCCATCTGCCGAAGAAGTATGACCTATACTAATATAACATAGTAAATTTTGTTTCGAGTAATTTTCAATAACTGTCCCTGAGATTCAGCCTAATAACAAAAAGCCCTTTTTTGTCCTTGAATATTGTTCATCTTTCACAAATCATATTACTGGGTTTTTTGTGATTATTAGGTGAAACCTCAGGGTATAGTTTGAGTACCTAAAAGTTAGTCATTTATATCTGATTATCTGAAACTATATTTATTATTTTATGACCATAGGCTTTGTTAGATCCGTACTTTTATGGGTTGGCAAATGTAGAAGAAGAGCCATCGACTCAGCCCATCTCGAAATTTGAGTTTGAGTTTGAAAGAAGAACGCTATCGAAGGACGACGTGAGGGAATTGATCTACAGGGAGGTACGAGTATCGCTTGTTTGTTCTTTATTATGTCAGTAAAAATAGTGCTGCATTTTAGCTGTGTTCACTTACATTGTATCTTAATTAAGCAAACAGATCTTGGAGTATCATCCCCAGATGCTCCAGGAGTACCTCCAGGGCGTGGACCAGATTCACTTTATGTATCCAAGGTCTGGCATTTAAAATGATCCTCTTCGACTCGGATTTTATTGAAAAAAGGAAAAAAGAAAATCCGATGCCTTTTGTCTCATTTTTCTTCATTTTTACTTTTTGTATCTTTATCATGTTGTGGATTTGTTGCAATGGGTGACCTTGGTACCTAGAGCATTTATCTGGACATTATGATTCTCTTATATTTATCTTGATATGATTTTTTTCGCTTGGTAAATATATTTGGTGATAAAAGTATTAACACATTAAACAACTGATGTTTTCAGTGGAGTCGATCAGTTCAAACAACAATTTTTCCGACTTGAGGGTCAACCTGGTAAAGGCGACAAACCTCCATTGAGAAGACGATATGCTTCCTTGCCCAGGTTAAATCTTTTTACAATTAATCTCATCACTGTTCAACATTTTATATTGGTATAGAAATTTCCACTAAAGAAACAAGTTTTCGTACACAATTAACAACTATTCCCCCAAAGGCTTTCTACAAGGTTTTAGCATAATTGCGCGTGCTTGTATACAAATATATCCGCTCAAAACGATTTTTTTTTTTAATTTTTTTTTTTTAAAAAGTTGATATGGTTAGTTGTTAGTGAAATTTTGGGGTTATATTAAAATAATATGTAAAATAAAATAATTAATTGATTTTATGTAAAAGTAGGAAAGGAATGATGTGAAGTGATGGTTAGTTATAATTATTTGATCGGATGAAATAGTAAATTAAAGTTGATGTAATTTGTTAGAATGAATGATTGATATTATTTGATTATATTTATAATATTGAGGATATTGGGATAAAGTTGAAGTTGAATTAAATTTTGAGTATGAATTGACACACCCTTAAGAATCAAGCATGTAAGTTTTTGCCCCACATTAATTGTTTGATGGACTCGAGTTTTGATTGCAGAGAACGTATTTGTGGGCTGATAGATGAGGATCTCGACCAGGATAGTGAGGTCAAAGGCCCAAAAGTGGTTGCTATTCCACGAGCACGCCTTGTTAGCCCCAAGAAGCCATTGAATGCCATTGAAGGAACTGAGACGGCTAATGCTACCATAAAAGCTAAGAAAAACGGCAGTAAGAAATCGTGTTGCAGTGCACGATGCTTGTTAAGAAGTGACAGCATTAGTGCCTCCAAGTGCATTGGCGTGGAAGGATCAGACTACTGTTAGGTGAGTTTTCTCAGATTGTTTTTAGTGCAATTAAATTCCGTGAGCTATCTGGATGTTTAATTTTTTCAAGTTCTTATTAGACATTCGTAATTGTATTTGCATTTTTCAGTTTCAAGTACGAGAAAATCAATACGGGGTCGACTAACGTGATGAGGGTGGATCTCGATAAGCAAAAGCTTCTTCAATTTGTGGACTTTTTTTTAAGTTTTCTTTGTGAGCTGAACTTATTGTACCGTTGAATTGCTGAAGATTTGGGCTGTACTCTATTTAACATTTGTTTTAAGCATATTGGATGATCATAATGGCTCGTCCGTTGCTCAACAATAGTTTTACACGGTGGACCTTTATCGCGTTGCTTTACAATTTTAACTAGAATTTTATATGTGATTGGTTTGCTAACAAAAAATCCGTTCATTTTTTTTTTCTTTTTAATAATTATGCATATTTTTAAATTGAACATAGAGAATATGGAGAGAATAGAGAAGAGAGAATATTGGATTAGAACAGAGAGAATATAGCAGCGGAGTACTGCATAATACATGATGCATTATTTGTCCCCTCTTGTTTTACATTCAATTTGATTTTTGTTTCCAATTTATCTGCTACATATAATTGTGTAGTCAACTTTTTGTCCGATTCTTGCATATTACAGGATCTGATAAACCACAAAATAATCGATTTTGCTGATCTTAGGATGAATTATACCATCTAAAACTAGAATCTCCTTCTACTGCCCTAATTAATAACTCTACTGCTTTATCCCCCCATTTACTATCTCGTACATCTATGTCAATTGTGAATATAACATTTCTTTTACTTGTATATGCTTCTCAACTTGATATTACACTATGGCATCATAGGCTTGGCTACTTATCTGTTTCTAAGTTACTTACTTTACCTATAACATATGATAACTGCAAATGTATCAATCCTTGTGATGTATGCCACATTTTTAAACATAAAGATTACCATTCCCAGAAAGTATATTAACTTCTGATCATCCTTTTCAACTCAGACATTGTGATATATTGGGTCCATTTGCTGTCACATCATACTTAGGATATAAATATTTCTTCACAATAGTTGATGATTATAGTAGGGTCACTTGGGCATATCCACTTATTCAAAAATCAGACCCCAAACAAGATATCAATCATTGGTATAATATGGTCTAAACTCAATTTGATCACAAATCAAGACTAGTAGAACATAGAATGGTTTTGAATTTATTCTCAAAGATTTCTATGCTCAGTTTGGAATCGTACATAAAAAATCTTGTGTTGGAACACCTCAACAAAATGCTAGAGTAAAAAGAAAGTACCAACATATTTTACAAGCGACTAGAGCATTATTGTTTCATGCCCATTTACCTCTGCATTTTGGATTGATCGCATTCTTATTGTTGTTCACATCATCAATAGAGTCCCTTCCTCAGTTTCTAAAAACAAGTCATTTTTGAAATTCTTTCCAACAAAACTCCCACATATGATCATATGAGAGTTATTGGTAGTCTTCGCTATGCTTCAACACTTCAGTCACATAAACATAAATTTGATCATAGAGTATCCAAATTCATATCACTTGAATTTCCATTAGGTTGTAAAGGCTATACCCTTTACAACTTGTGTACCAAGAAAATAATGATTTCCATAAATATCGTCTTCTATGGAAAATGTATTTCCTTTGCAATCAAATAACCTTCAGTCAAATATATCATTATTTCCTATGCCTTCCTATATGACAATTCTTCTGCTCAAACCTCAAATAAACAACTAGAGTTTCATAATCATCCTAATAAAGCTACTGACAACTAGAGTTTCATAATCCTCCTAATAAAGCTACTTACTGATCATACATCACCCACAGATCTACCTACCTCCATAACAATACAAAACTAACCCAATTCTACAACACCACAAAGGAGAAAGTCACTAAGAATCCCCATAATCCTAGCTTATCTAGATGATTATCATCATTCTCTATACCCTTCCACTCATTCATCCAATCTTGTAAATACCTTTTCATATGACACTGGGATATCCAATAACCCATTTCCACTTTTCTGTCAACATCACATTTGTCTGATTCTCATAGTTTCTTCACTGCATCTATTACTACAATTTCTAAACCTAAAAGATATAAACAAGTAGCCTCAGATCCTCTTTAGCAAGAGGCTGTAGATTGAAGAATTAAAAGCCCTAGAACAAACTAATACTCTGAACTTGCAATGGATAAACATTGCATATGTTGCAAATTGGTTTATAAGTTCAAGTATAAATATGATGACAATATAGAGAGATACAAAGTTACGCTAGTTGCTAATGGTTATACTCAAGAAGAATACATAGATTATTTGATAGCTAAAATAAAAAATGTAAGATTCCTTCTTTCTTTAGCTTCCTAAAATAGTGTCACATAGACCAATTAGATGTGAACAATGCCTTTGTACATGGTGATATACTTGAAGAAGTTTATATATTGAAACCACCATCTGGGTATATCTTACCTAATGAAAACATGATTTGCAAACTTACTAAAAGTCTTTATGGTCTTAAACAAGCTTCAAGACAATAATTTTGAAAATTGACTAGTTGTCTTTTACTTTATGGTTTCAAACAATCAATTGATGATTGCTCATTGTTCTTTATGCATAATTCTAAGTCTTTTACTATTTTGTTAGTTTATGTGGATGACATAATTGTAGCTGAAAATAACATTGAACAAATCAACTCTATCAAATCTCATTTAGATGCATGCTTTACAATCAAGGATCTAGGTCAACTTAAATAGTACTTGGATTAGAATATGCTCATTTAGAAAAGGGAATTCAAACGTGCCAAAGAAAATATGCATTAGACATTTTAAATGATACTGGAATGCTAGTTTGAAAACTTGCTTCAACACCGATGGAGTCAATTTTAAAACTAAGTAATAACAATGATCCTTCTGAGTATAGTAGATTAGCAGGAAGGTTACTTTACCTTACCATATCTAGACCTAACATTGAATACTATGTGCAAACCTTAAGTCAATTCATGTCCAAACCAACTCAGTAACAAATGAGTTCAACCAACAGAGTTTTGAGTATGTCAAAAACACAATATGCAAAGGTACACTCTTTCATAAATACTCTCCTTTAAATTTCACAGGTTATTGTGATAGTGATTGGGAATCTTGCATGGATACAATAAAAAGTGTTACATGCTACCATATTTTTCTTGGTAACTCTTGGAAATCTAAAAAGCAACCAACTGTATGAAAAAAATTTGTTGAAGAAGAATACAAAGCTCTTGCTTATGCTAGTTGTGAAAACCAATGGTTATCATCTCTTTTTCAAGAATTAGATATACGCTTAAACCGACCTGTTTCCCTATTTACAAATAGCTAGTAAATCTGCTTTGGCAATGGCTTGACACCCTGTTTTCCATGAAAGAACAAAACATGTAGAGCTGGATTGTGACTTGATTAAGGAGAAGGTGGAAAATGGCTTGATTCCGTTGCAGCACATCCCATCAAAGGACAAACTAGCAGGCTTCCTAACATAACCTCTTCTAGGCTCAGGTTTTCATCATCTCCACTCAAAGATTAGAATACCCAACATACATGCTATTCTTGCATGGGGTAATAACATATAGAATTATATTAGTCTTTGTACTTAAATTAAATTGCTACTTGTAAAATAGCAACTTTGGCCATAGTTGCAATAGCAAATTTAGTTGTAAAGATATACTATAAACGTTATCATACAAACCCTAAAATGACTAGAAGTTCGGGTTAAATGACTCCAAAACGAGTCGAAACGGATCGAAAACGGATCTACGTGATTAAACTGAACATTGCCGAACAATTAATCAAGTAACCAAATAAATTCAAAACTAATTTATAAATAAAATCATTCATCTAATAACACTATAATAAAGCAGATTGATTATTCAAGGCAAAGACAATCAAGTTATGATAATAATCGAGCAAGCAACTAAATATCAAGAAATCAATAATAATATAAAAGCAAATAAATGGATAAATAAATCACGGAATATCATATAAATTGAAAGAAGCGGTGCAATGTACCCTTCTTAAAAGATTTATGTCCATGGAAATACAAAACAAAAGAGAAAAGTCATGGTACAACCGAGTACAAGGGAAAACTAAGAACATAAAGTTCGGGTACTTCCTCCGAATATCGGTCTCCCTCTCCCAAGTCGTCTCGACCTCGCCATAGCGGCTCCTCTGCACTTTGACGAGATAAATCTTCCTCAACTGATGAACCTTCCGGTCCAGTAAGGCCACCAGTACTTCCTCATAGATAACGTCTCGCTCGACCTGCAACTCACCAAAGTTTACCACGTCCTCGGGGTCATGCATGTATCTCCGCAACATCGAGTCATGGAGTACGTCATGCACCCCCGACAACTCAGGTGGTAAATCCAACCAATAATCTAAG